AAATTCTTGCAGAGAATGCCTCCAAGTTTCTTTCATTAAGTTAATACCTAAAGGCCCCAGGAGTGTTTTTGCAGATGTTCCTTAAATTAGGATGCTGGTCGCTTGTCAGTTAAATTTGTGTGAGAAAGGTAGCTTAAAAATTGCTGCATGATGACAGATGAACAAATATAGATCATTGCAGTCAGCTCGGAATGTGAACTTTTTTAATGGTAGGACCGAAATTGCCCAATGACGGGGTCAGAACAGCAAGAAAGCAAATGTGAACACTGGATGAAAATAGTTGTCATCATTACTCTGCTAAATCCAAGTTTGTGTGTTCCATGTGCAGGAAAACAGTGCATAAACTAACACCTAACGTGATGGCACATGCTGCATGGAGAACACGTGTGCGTTGCATATCATCACCTGTTTTTGTACTGATGATTAAATATGTCACTTTGGTGCTTTTTTGTGATGGGTGTCTGCAGGCCATGAGGTAGGTACTTGAACTGTTCAACAATTCTTGCAGGGAGTACCAATAGTTTCTTGCATTAAGTGAATACATGAATGCCCCAGGATTGATTTTGCAGGCATTCCTCCTGTGACTTGAACATTTGGTTGACCACCTATTGGCAGGAGGGATGTGCTGGATATTGGTGACTGGCTCGTCAAGGAAATATGAAGCTACATCACACTGGTAGACCAAATGGCAAGGAAGCGGGGGCTGGAATATTTGTTTTTGATGTGATTAGGCTGTTTGTTGCTTGTCGGTTTGGTGTGTGTGAGATAGGTAACTCAATAATTCCTGCGTGATGCAAAGGATCAACAAATATAGGCAATAGATCATTGCAGTCAGTGCAGAATGTGAACTATTTTTAATGATGGGGCCAAAATTGCCCAGTGATGGTTCCAAAATGTCAAGAAAGCAAATGTGAGCACTGGATGAAAATAGCTGTCATCAGTACTCTGTCAAATCCAGGTTTGTGCATTTCATGTGGAAGAAAACAGTGCATAAACTAAGTAAGCCTAACATAATGCCACATGAGGTGCAGAGAACATCTGTGGTGCACATCATTACCTGTTTTTGTACTGGTGAGTAAATATGTTACCTTGGTGCTTTTTTGTGACATGTATCTTTGCAAACCATGAGGTGGATAATTGAGCTGTTGTTATAATTAATCATTTGTTATGAATTTTGAGCCCAGATTGCATTTGTCATGACAGCTCTGGGGCTGGTTCACATGTTATGATCTTTGGACTGTGCGAACACAGCTGTTTGTGCCACCTAGCCATCAGTCCATATCAGCCAATGCTGTAGACTGCAAGGATATCAAAGCAGTATTTCAACCCTAGTATGTCAAGAAAGCAAATAGCTGCATTCTGACTTGCCAGTCCATGCCAAGTCTAAATGGCAATGCTGCCCTCAGGTACTGATGATGCATTGGATGGGGAAAGACAACATAGTTACACAATTTTTGCCACTAACCATGCAGCATTCATGAGTCATTTCTGTAGCTTAGCTCACTGTTGCAGGCTGCTCATAAATGCATTAGTGTGGGAGTAGGTAATGTGTTTCTTGGGCTGCGCAAGGTAGATGACATGATGCTGGGTGGCATACTGATATGAGTGTGGTAAGTTTGTGAGTGTCGTTGGCCAATACAAGAAAATACTGATTTCCTGCTAGCCAAAGTTTCCCGCTAGTAAAAATTTGCATATAACACTGTTTATGTGACAGATTTGGCAGTGCTGACTGCGCAACTCTTGTGTTTCAAGTGCTATGGCTTGTGCTGTAGCTATAAAGCCTATGAGTCCCGCACAGATCATTTTTCCAACGGAGTCCACCTTCCTCCTCGCCCTCAAAGCTGTCTCGCGCCCACCATGGCTCGTGACATTCGCCATCCATACGCAGAGTACCGGCTTTTTTCTTCTTGTTTTGTTCAGTTCGCCTCAAAAGCGCAGTTTTCGCCCATAATCCGTTCCTTGATTCGAACTAAGCGGGATCGAACTATCGACCGTTAATCCGACGTAAAGCCGGTTTCGCCCATGTAAACGCCCCTCGCCGAGAGGGTTAACGTCGCATGATCCGTTCCGATCTTAATTCGAATTATCCTCGGCTGCCCATGTAAACCGGGTAATTATCCCTGTCTTGGGTACCTGGCCGGTACCTGTCTGACCAGCCCACGGCATAGATGAAGAACAATCACAATAACAAATCACTGCCTTGGTTAGTCAGGCGAGGCCATATGCCCTCAGCAGGCGAGTGCGTCGTAAAGCCCCAATGATGACGACGACAACCACGATCAATCGATAGTCCTGATCGACGATGATCGACGTGTCCAGATCGACGACGATCTGGGGCAGGTCAGGACAGTCAGCTATGCAGGTCACAAAATCGGTTTCAAACTTCTTGACATAGGTCACTACTGCAATCTGTGAGGCAATGTTGAGGTCTCCCGACGCGGGCTTTCTGCTATTCGTTTTAAGTTTTTGTGTTATTTCCATGTGGGGAGGGCAGCATGAGACAGCAAATCCATCAGTTCCGATCACAGTCCACCACAAACACACTCTTGTGCAAAAGGTTTCTTTTGTTTGCAAACGGGTCAAACAACCACACCGCAAAGCAGGGGTCGCAACATAACACAACAGAGGATCTAACGTCCGGAGCCTCTCGAGCTTGCAGGTAAAAGAACATTGCCACCGCAAGGCAGCGATTGCACACAACGCAGCAGGGGATCTAGATATGGAGCATTCCAAGCTTTCAGCTGAAACTACATTTCCATGGTACACTTGTGCTTCTGGATCACACTGTATGTACAGAACTTAACATCCTTCCAGGAACGCCGGCACAGTGCAGACTTCTCCTTCAGTGCCGCTAGGCAGTCTGCCATTCCTGGGCACTTCAGAGAACCGATAAATGGCTTCACGCGCCTCTGTATAGCCTCCTTTTCTCTTTCAGTCCACAGCACGCCCCTCCTTTTGGCTTTGGGCCTTCTTTCATTAATCCTTGGCCCCCTGGGTGGTCCGTTTTCTGCTTCAGCTTGGGGATCGGAAGCCATCCCTTTAGCGTTCTTCACCCCCATCTCCACTCCCATGTCGTCAGGGGCAATAATGCTAGCGCTGTCGTTTATGTCGACACTGGGAGCGGAACCACCTTCGACGACATCGTAACTGCTGGGTTCAGGTCATCCAGGGTCTTCCCTGCGAATCCGCCGATCCCTTTGGCCATCGCGAGTAGTATTTTACTCACTTTGGCAGCATGCACCGTCTTTTCGGGAAGTCTATAGAACTGTCTGTGGACCCGTATGTCATGGCCCATAAAGCGGGCCACGATATCCATTTCAATCTCGCTCAGTTGCAGCAGCTGCAGCATAGTAGCCACATGCTTTCTGTACTTCGTGACTGTGATGTTGTTGACACGTGCCCTCCGCGCGAATGTCCGCGCGCAGTCGCTGCCTCTGAGCATGCTCGCAACTGGGGCTGCGCTGTTGAAAAAAATGTGTGGACAGTCGAGAGGGATCCCAACGTCAGCGTCCCTCGCTGCGATCAGCTGATCAAGCGCCCCTCGCATTGTGGCTGTCAGCATGATGGGCACATCGCCTCCTTTTTTGCTCCGAACCACTACATCTCCCAGCGAATGGCATAGCTCTCGCTCTAAGGGAGACAGGTGCTGCAGGACATCTTCATTGAGAGTTTGGTCCCTTCCAGTGTATGATCTGACCGTAGGCCTTGACGCTTCTCCCGGCCTTCGCCGGTTAAACAAAATGATGGATGCCAACGCAGTCTCCGACAGTTTAACATAGTTCTTGATAGAGCGTTCCTCTTCCAACAGCCGCTGAGCCTGCACCAACTCATTCCGCACCTCCTTCGTTACACTCTGAACATCCGCATTGAGGGGAAGGCCGACGGGCTTATTCCACTTCCTTTACTAGAGAGTGGTAAGCGCACGAGAAGACACGTGTAGCTTCCAATCTCGTTGGTAGAGCAGGAGGAAATCGTCCGCAGCCGTCCTCGGGGTGGCGTCTTCGTTGGTGATCCCGCGCGTTTTCAGTATGCGCGCGCATTCGCTGAGGCCATAACCAAGCTTGAGAGCAAGCGATAGGCTATGATATTTGCCCTCCTTCACACCGGCCATGTTCTTGACCGCGCCTACCACTTCCATGAACTTCGCGGGGTGAATAAACATATGTAGACCTGATCCTGGGCTTGATGCATTCAGCTCCAGCAGCAGTCGTCCTAGCTGCCGCATTTTTGCTCTGATGTGTGCATGTTAGTGGCGCTCGTGGCCCAATCTTGTGTATAGACGGGCCCCGAACTCCATGATAAAGGCATCATGCCTGCAAGTGGACGAAATACTATCGTCTCGCATCTTCGCCATCAGGTTTTCTAAACCATCCGCGGCATCTCTGTGGCACGACAGCAAGGATCTTCCCTGGGACTGGACTCGGCCCCCAGAGGCAGTTTTCCCATGGGCGTGGCACCGATGCCGAAAGAGGCCGCGTCTAGAAAAGACACCGTGAAATTTCCCACATGGCAGCATATCTTTCACGTTGACATTCATATCTTGGGGTGGACGCCTCCCGGGGACGATCGTTCCTCGCCCATCTCGGAAAACAGCAGTTATGTTTGAAGTTGCCTTTATGAATGATACCTTCCAGAGTGATTCTCCTCTCCCTTGATCCTTTTGGAAAGGCGAGCGCGTCAAGTACGTCGGGTTCTCGTTTATGCTTCCGGAAAAGATGGCGTGCAAATTTTGTGTGCAGGGTATCACAATAGGGGCAAACGTTCCGCTTTAGGGATGGCTTTCTTGCTTTAGGAGATTTTTCAACAGAGACACTGTGTTCGCCGGAAGCCCTACTGCTGTTCTTGGCCACTACCTGGGCCTCATCCTGGTCCTCGTCCTCGTTCTCGTCTTTGACTTCCTCCATATCCTGGTTCTCGTCCATATCCTTGAACTTGCCCTTGTCCTCGTCCTCGTCCATGTCCTCGTCCATGTCCTGGTCCTCGTCCTCGTCCGTGTCCGCTGCTGGCCGTGGGTCGGGGAGGTACGTACGATCTTCATCTTCATCGTCATCAGGAATGAGGCCAGAAGCATAATTATCATGATCTGCGGACAGACCGATCGCCATTGGTTACCTAATGACGAGTATTAAGCAAAAACGAAAACAAAAAACCAAAACGTCGGAAGCAGGATCGTTCGAGTTACTCAACGATGCGCTAAAGTGCCAGACCTACCGGAGTTGCGATTCTTATGCCGAGGGGACCGAGACACAATGCGCCGGTGGTCAGAGGCGAACCAGGGTACTTTGGGCTCCGAAGCCAACGCCTCAGCCAACTAAGCCACATGGCCAAGCGGCTGTTTAACCAAGGGGACATCGATTTATGGGGCGTCGGTCTACTGACCCCGCTCGGTGCTAGGGTACGGGCAAGTGCATGGTTGGCCACAGTTACTCTGTGATGCCTACTACATGGGATCACGTTGGTGCGTGTGTCCGTGCGTATGTTCAAATTCTATGAACAACTATTCTATCAAAAACTATGAATTCTATGAACAAATTCTATGAACAATTCTATTCTAAATTCTAAGTGATCCTTCACGGACGGAACAAAAATGTTCGTGATGACTGGTATCTTGGCAGGTACAAAAGAACCACTTTTTATCCAACTAAAAGCAAGCAAAAAACAATGAAGACACACAAGCTGCAAAACGTTACGAAACAAAGCAATGAGCAAATTTCCCGCGCAGAGCAGTTGGGATTTGCAGCAATGACAGACAGTCTACGCCATGACACATTATTTTGTTAGGTGGTATCTACCACAGATCAGTTTTAAACCCAAAACAGAGCACAATCACCCTTGGTTGCTACACCTACTTTCAAAGGGCACTGTGCGATCTGATGCTCTCAGCTTATGCTGCTGCTCACGCTTCACTCAATGCTTTAAGAAACATTTTTTTAACCATGCACCAACCTTTCTCAAAATATGACCGGATTAGGCCCAGAGGCACTCTTTCTCTCGAAACACATGTAGGAACTCTGAAATAAGTAGAAAAACGTGAGAATGCACGCCAATTAGGCAAGCAGAAGACAACTAGTGGCCAGGAGTGGCACACGGAAAAACTTGAGGGGCCCTGGAGTGGCCAGAACGGGCCTTAAGAATGGTCAGATAATTCTGTATTTGTAAAATCAAGCAAAGAAACGTTGGCTGTTATTCTATACGACCATTTTCTCATGCGCGAGGAACGGAAGCATTTAGGAGACCCTGGAGTCACCCTGGAGACCCGTTTCATTACATTTCATGACGCTACTTTTACCGTACAATCATACCCTCGCCTAACGATCATAACACAGCATGGAAGACGTCAGGACTGGTTGCTAGCATCGCCGAAAAGGCACGCTTTCCCAGGGCACGCTCATAGGTATAGACAGCTCACGTGTCTTTGGTTGCACCACTGCAAGACATGGGTAAGAGAACCGGGGATGAATAGGGGCAGGGGCTAAAACCTGCATGTTTCTGAAAATTTAGCATTGGTCCTTTGCGCGTTCACTGCAAAAATAGTCCATTGACTACCATCTTTTGCTTGGTTGGGTAATGGGCCGCTGGGCGCATGGGTCGTAGGGTTTTCCACGGCACGCACATTGGTCATGGGTTTTGTCGAGGTCTTTGGAGAAAAGGGGATCGGACAGCCCGTTTGCCTCCCATCTCGGCACCGCCCATGCTCATTTTCAGGTAAGTATAACAATGTATATATCGGTTTATTCATGCCCTGAACAGCTATGCCAAGAAACGCACAGACGAAGCCCTCAAGTCATTCAGTCTTTCATCGAATGTCTTGAAAATCGGCTCACGGCTGTTCAAACGAAACGCAATGCACGAGTGTCATTCACTGGGGTCCTACCAACAAGGATCACTTGTTAGCTCGATGAGATCGGGACACTGTATGCTCTTACCTGAAGCCACTAAACTTCACCAGTATAAACATGCCATCTTTGCTAGTGGCATGCTGAATAACTTCACACGGTGTGATTGGTGCCTGTAACAGTGAGCACGAGCATTTGTAAAACACAACACATGTTCGTTGCCTTTTGACTGTACCAAACAAGTAGAGAAACATACGTTAAGCCGCGCGTATAGGAAACCAGACGTACGGGGTTCGATTTGCTGCCTGGTCCAGCCTTCCTGCCAGGGCAGACGCCATAAACTGGGAAGAGAAGGCTGACCACTGAATTGGGATTGCCTGCATCACAAGTCGGTGGGGAGTTAAAGTCGTCCACCGGTAAAGGAAACCAACCCCCTGCAAAAACACGTAATCCAGACATATGCGACGAGACGCGCGTCAAGATTACCAAAGATCAATCACGCAAAACCCGTCAAACCTGTTCACGTGTCTGTTCACACATAAAATGCATGAATACGATGTCATCAAGTCTATGTACCAAAAATCTTTCAGTTCCTGGAGTGCCACCTTTTTGGCCGCCTTGCTTTCTTCCATGAAGTGAATGTCACTTTCCATCACAAGCCAGCATTACATCACTTGGTCAAGGGACGTTGTTAGAAGCGAACACTTTATTAATCGCAGGTCTCCAAATCGCAAGGGCAAATAATACAGATTTAAGAGGAATGGCAAATGAATGGCTTTCTTAAAGATGGGTAGGAGACGGTAATAAAATGATGAGACGAATCCCACATTGCTTGTACTTGCTAAGTATTGTGTGTCGCGTATACCCTGAACCCACCACCAAAATAGCGTCATGTTTGTTTTCATGCCAATCAGACCCACTGACCCTAGTGTTTAGAGCCAGTACACCGGTTATGTCATATCGGCAACACCTGACCAGCCCGAACGAAAGCCAAAGGCTTACTAAGTATGAAACAGAAGGCGTTTTAAAATGTTCCACTCGATCAACCCGCGCGCTTGCGTATGAAACAGAAGGCGTTTTAAAACGTTTTACTCGTTCGGCCCGCGCGCTTGCTAAGCAGTCTAGGCCGTTTATCTTACAATTTTGTAAATTGACATGCGGAGAGAATGACCATTCAAAGCATCAATAAATATTGGCAAGGTGGTGAAATACTTGCATCTGGCTGTCGACATTTCATAACTGCTAATGCGTGCTAAGGATGAACCAAAAACACCCAAGATTAAATGTACATCATTCTTCAACTTTTGAACAGCACTTTTGAACAGCACACCGGAACCGACGATCAAAGGCCTGTTTGGGGGGGGGGGGGGTGTAAGGGTCTAAAGAACTGACTGTAGGTCACGTAAAGAATCGCGGCCCGGAGGGTCGTGACTTAAAATACTACTCAGAGGTCCCCTCGCATCGTTTTAGGATCACCCCCTCCCCCCCCCCCCCCCCTGAGACAATCGGTCCGAGACCACGAACACCGAACAGTCGGCTCCATGTCCGCCTGAGCCCTTGAGACCCATTTCCCAAGCAGAAACAAGGCCGGGGTTCGCGATTTGTAATATTCGGGGTCCCTGGTACAATGAAGGGCTTCTGTGCCGGTTAGGGGCCACCGTCTCGAACTGTGGCGGCAAGTGGCCCCGAGTCAGAGCGATTTTGAGGGGGCCCAAAGAGGGGCCGAAGGGTCTCTCGACACCAAATATGGACCAAAGACTAATATAAGAGACCAAATACTAATATAAGATTAGAAGAGTCCGAAGGGCTGGCTGTAGGTCACATTAAGGACCCCCGCTCGTAGGGCCGTGATCTCAAATGTCAGTAAAATGATCTTTGGCACCGATGGAGACCCCTGAGACAGAAAACTCCTCTATTTCGGTCAGAGATCGCAAACAACGAACTGTCAGTTCCGTGTTGGTCTGAGCTTAATAAGAAAAAACATGTCTTCGATAACAAATGGGCATATGAGGTGATTTGGGGGGGGGGGGGATTTTACTATCAGGGTGTCCTCTGTCAATCCTGTGCCCCCCCCCCCCTTACGAAACCTCTGGCTGCGCCCCCTGCTGCTCTCTATTGGTCAAAAGGTGCACGTTAAGCTTTTAGTTTGTGATTTATCTAACAGAGTGGACATATTTTCGTCTGATTTTGCTACTTCCTTTGCAGGCTACGCCCTTGATTTAGCTGCTTTCCAGCACTACCACAAATCACTACAGTCCACACATTATGGTAGGTTAAACTATGTTTTGCCTGAAATTGAGAACATAGAGGGTGGAAAGCATATGCAATATGCACATTTTCAATAGATTAATGAGTTGGGCCAGGTACCTAGTGTATTCTGTGTTATCTCATGGAAACTGAAATAAAAACAAAAGAATTGCACCTCCAGGTTACAAAAGACTGCTACATCAAGCAGCTGTGGAAGGGTCCAAGGACTGCATTGGTCGAAAAGTGTGTGATGTGGTGGTGTGTGGTGTGGGCAGGCAGGAAAAGCTATTTGCTCCCCATGACGTGGAGGGCCACAAGCAGATTAGTCTGCAGATCACTATGCTTTTAGGGCCATGCTGGTCAAAGTTGCATTCATTCTGAAGTGATCAAGCACGCATTAATTGCAGTTTCCAAAAAGCATGGCTGTTCACATCTCGTGTGTTGATCTGCTGGTTGAAAGGCTTTAATGTTTCCTGCCATCACTACTCGATATCAGGGTTCACGTTTCCTATTCCGTTAGGGAAGGGGGGGTTCTAGGCCCCCCCCCCCTCCGATATCAAGCTACAGCTGTCAACTAAGAAATGAAATGGCGCCAAATTCAGAGAGAAATTGGTTTGTTGATGATCTTTGGGTTAGGCTTCATCATTTCACAAGTTTGGCAACCCCCACCCCCCCCCCCCCAATGCCCCCCCCCCTACTCACTTTATGTACCTACGCCCCCACTCAGTGCATGCGGGTAAGGTGGGAATGGTGCACCCCATTGAGGGGTAAATGGGAACATGAGGTGAAAAGCACGCTGATGCCCCCCCCCCCCCCCCTCTTCCCGTCGACAATTACATGGGATGCAACGCTGAGACGGCCACACAACCACCAAGTTGGAAGAATTTGCATTGCCCCACATAACGCTGCGCACCTAATGCTTGCCCCCTTCCTCCTTCATATCTACAGAGGTTTCAACAGAAAACTGCCGCACCGCCATCAAGTTGGAAGAATTTCCCTTGTCCCTGATACTGCGGTGCACCCGAGTACGAGAAACTTCATGCACTTAAAAAACAGAGCTTCCAGTACAGAACATCATGCAGTTATCAGTACTTACCATATCCTGACAGCCCACAGGAACACCACTAAGTACCACGCAGTGATATCTCACGTCCCTTGATCGCGTGACAAGACGCCAACCGAGCGACGCGACACCTCCACGGCATTCCAACTCGCGGCCAAGGTCTGCCATAACAATCAGTGGTGATGGGTACTTCGCATGTGCCCCGCCAAACTATATGATTGTTAATGTTTGGTCATTATTAAACGTCTTAAGGCATATAAAAGTAACTATTGTTTATCATTTAGTTACTTCAGTCAATTCTGTCTTGTGAAATCAACACTACATGGTGCATTCAAGGTGACAACAAGATTAGCACATCTCTATTCAAAGACGACGTCACACATTTCAGTCGAAAGGCGAGAAACTTCTCCGGCGGATTTGTGTAAGTCAACCTAAGTCACGTGACTATGAAACGTACACTTGGCGGACAAAACCTACCATGTCGGGACCTCTAAGGGATTGATACCAGACCAATATCTGGACGAAATTAGTGTTTTCCAATGGTTTGCAAAATGAGGACCGATTTTCGGCCCCCACCTTGAAAACGGTCCTCACCTTGCGTGAGTGTAGCGGACTTCGGTCCCCACTTAGGAGGGTTTACAAACACACACACACACACACACACACACACACACACACACACACACACACACACACACACACACACACACACACACACACACACACACACACACACACACACACACACACACACACACACACACACACACACACACACACACACACACACACACACACACACACATATATATATATATATATATATATATATATATATATATATATATATATATATACACACACACACACATATACATACATACATGTATTTTTTTAAACCCATTAAAACCGATTTTCAAATCAGTCGCGGAATATATCCTGTCGTGGGTTGGGTTATGCAATATTTTTTTCTCGACCGGATATATTCTACTTACAACGCGCACGGGTGACCGCTTGAATATCCTTCGATCGGGTGGGGTGGGGCGAGGGTTCAATTTGACCCCCTGAGATCTCGGAAACTAAGATATTTGGAGACACCAAGTTACACGGTGGGCTTACAGGCCCCCACGTTAACTCATTAATGTCAAAATTTGACGTTTCTGCATGACCTTGAGGTCAAATAAGATAAAATATGATCAAACTCCAGATTGGTGTCCGAAGGGCCCTCAGACCTCTCCACACGACCGCCACGAACCCTTAAACCTGTGAACCTGCAGACCTAGCTATCTGTTACAAGTAAAAGATCACTGGTGTTCATTCAAGGCCAGTGACCCTGTCTGGCCTTTAAAAGGTCAAGGCAACCAAAAAGGCTACGAAGTTGCCGCTATTTTTCCATTCAAAGAGGCGTAAGGGATCACGCCAGGCGGCATGTTCATAAAAAATGTTTGACCAAGGCCATCTTAGGTCAGTCGCCTAATCTAACCTTAAACAACTCATGGAATATATATGTTGCGTGACATGTCAACGATGAATTATAAATGAGCATAAAAAACTACCGCATAAAGCAAGCTCTTGAACAACAAAAAGAGGTTAGTTTTGATCTCACTTTGACCTTCATATTTGAACCAAGGTCGATGTAATCTGTTGTAATTCTAAATTCATCCGGTGCATTACCTGAAAACAACATTTCAGAGAGGCATAGCCTCGTACAACACTCCGTCGTCGCATCAGATTGAACCATTCCCTAGAAATGGTCTTGGCTGACAGCCAAGGTCTGACTTTTATCTGCCTTACGTCGGAGACCGTACAAGGTACATCCGCTTTATTTCTATCAAAACATCCGCTAGTCAATTGTCTACAAGCATACAAAGTTTGGCGTGGCTACGTCGCGCAATTCGGAAGTCATTCTGGGCAAATCTTCGGAGGAAGGGGGGTCAAACTGATTCCCACCCGAACGTGATGCTGAATGATACCGTGCAGGTTCTGAAGTGTCGAGCCTATGTAAGATGCCCACACAAGGCACAACACAACTTGTATGCAGCAGTCGATGGGAGCATTTGGGCTATCTATCCATATGTTTGGATACAAAATTTACTAAGAGGGAATGCACCAGAATAACCCAAGAATCTAAAAATGGATAGAATCCCGATAGCACACAGATCAACCTACGTTTGAGGCTCTCCGAGCCTGAGCAAAAATAAGGTAGAAAAAAATGTAATGAGTTCGGAACATCACTGGACCTGGACTTGGAACCGCGCCTAGAAGCGAGGAACCTCCGGATGAAAAAATGGATAATCCTCAAGGCGGAAACCATTGCTCCGGAAATGCTTCGTAGGACATTCGATTACAGTATGAAAGCAATGATCAGTGGAGCTGAGATGACATGCTCTAAAAATAGCCGCCCATATGGTACTAAAGCTTGAATGATTCTGGAATAAGGCCGGAAAATGTTGTGCCCAGCGCAGCAAAAAAAGACTTTTTGCACTCTTAAGTGCGCATACCTTGCTTGCAGACGAAGGCATCCAGAAAGGTAACTTTGACATATGACTCCTCTTCCATCGTAAAGTTAATGATAACACGCTTTTTGTTCAAGAAATTAGGGAATGAGACAGGGCGAGACCTGTCCTTGAAAGAGGAAAGCAATCGCCAATATACCTGCGAGAAATGAAAGGAGATAATTCGGCAGGACAGGAACTAGGCCGGAACTTTTCATCATGGCACATATAAATATTAGCAAACGCTGGGCTCAAGAACAGACCAATACCCTTTTCTTGTTTCTGTCTGTAAAATTTGATATTATCCTATATGAGATATATAATATCCTATCCTACATATACATATATACATGCATGCGTATATATATATATATATATATATATATATATATATATATATATATATATATATGTATATATGCACTGGAATGTGTCGGTCCATTCAATGAGATAACACTTTAATTACTTTAGTCAATAAACAGTAATTCGCTGTTCAACTAACACCATTAGCTGCCGCCGTTCGCTCAGTCGTAACAATACCCGAAATCCAGGTCTGAGGTGATTAGCGTGCGGCTCTTCCCATTAGTGGCTTAACGACCTCTCCGGCCGGGCATCCGTGCCTGGGGGGATCAGCCAGAGATTGGCACGTGCTCAGGCGGCGTGACGTCACTGCCAGCGGACAGAGAGCGCCGCTACACTGGGGCCAACCATGCGTGCCTTTATGCTCCAATTGATTAAGGAAAGCATCCCATCTTTTTTGTACTTTTCACATATGGTTACGTCAGACGCGAACGCTTTGATCAGTAGTACCAGTTTTTTCGAAATCATTTTCAATAGCTCAAATTTTCAATTTGAAGTGGCCGACCCTGTGGGAGAAATCCCATCTCACCCCACTATGAAAGTAGTACATTTTATTTATATTCCTTTTTAACGTGTGTGTTCTGTCATCTTTACAGCACACTAATAGTTCAGTGTTTGTGTGATTAATGCTACGTAGGCTTGAAACACATTGTCTAAAGAACAAAGTACGCGGCGTGAAGCTATTATCCCGTGAATTCAACAGCACGTTATAATATGGCTTTGATTTCCTACCACATGGCGTTTTCACAGTTGCTCTATTCGGAAGAACTTTGGCTTTGGGAATGGGGATACCACATGATCCATACGAAGCACTGATTCAAACTTCAACCAACAAACTTCTCGGTAACAGGCCCTTGCCCGCTGAGCCAATCACAAACGTTCTTTTGTTGGCCCTAGTAGAGGTACGCACGGTCGTTGGCGTGACGCCGATGTTCGTGACTGCAGGGAATAACTGTAGTTCTGTTATATAGCGTTGACAGCATAATTTGGATTCAAAACTAATTCAAATTGATATTCTTCTTATGTCTTGACGGCGCTGCATTGACACTGCTCAGTGCTATTATTATGCGTAACTAGTCTCGAGGCCTCACAAGAGCATGTCTTTGAAATATGTCTCGAAAGTGAATCACTTCCTTTAACCCTGTTCCGGGCGTGCCTGCTATTAATTTAATTCCAGGAAGAGCAGAAATTACTCCCCTGAGATTTCAAGAGCTGCTGTTAAGACCCGTTGATGAAACCACACAGCAAACTGCTACCCATTAGCAGAGTAATGCCATATAGCTGCCATTAAGCACTTGTTGAGAATTGCTGTCAACACCAAATATCTAGGCCGTACAGCCACTGCTGCCAGACATTTAGTGCTAACACTTAACTATAGTCCATTTCATTGGAGGAGTAACTACGGTTGACCAAGGTGAAGTTCACTGGCCCTTAGTTGTAAAGGAACGAACAAAACACAAAGGCAAAAAAACGTGGTTTCAGCACTTAATTCGATGTGCCTCGGCATATCGTACCATTGATATGTCATGCCATCGAAAAAGTAAAAGGAAGATGTGTAAGATTGCACGGATAAGCACCTACAGTTGACACTATGTCAGAAGCGTGTTCGATGACATCGACAAAGAAAAAGTGGCATAAGAGAAAACAAAATTGTTGGGCTGCACAATGTTTGTCACTTCTGCTTCAAGCACAGAAAATCCAATAGGTCATGTCAAGTCACAAAGCCCAAAAGTTACAACTCATCCCCGCAAATTATCCGATTCTGGAAACGCAACAAAATCAGTGATACAATAACCGTAATACATGGATTAAAGAAAATGCTTCGCATTTGAAGATATTAAAGCGAACGTCGGATGTGATGAAATGAGCCCACGTTTAACTATTTGTGTACTTTTAAGTGAAAAAGGCCACTCTAGACAACATAATTTCCCTGTTAATTGAATATGGCCCTTAGTACGCCATTGATTGATTGTCATCATACCTTGCACAATATTAATTGAGAGCCAATTAACGGCCGTTTTATTTGGAAATCGTGCTCAGAAATGCCTGATATGATCGACTCAGCAATTATTACTTTCTTGGCCTTGGTCACCGCATCTCCAACGGAGTGAAATAATTTGAAAGACATTATTATGTTGTCATGATTGCCCGGGTGATCTTGGATGCCGAATGGTAGATGCTTAGTCTCCCTGAAATAGTCTTCACAACTTAACGGACGTGTAGATCAGGAACTAGAATGATTTAGGTT